AGACGGGTGACGTTACAAAACTCATTTTCTCAGACGATTCTGTTGTGTGAACAGTCGTTTGAGAGTCTCAAAAGGACACTTTATGCGACAGTCCTGTTATGAAATAACTGGTCGGTGCCGAACTAATCTTCATAGCATATATGGGATATAACTTAAAAAACAGAATTTGGGAAAAGCCTTACATTATTTTTTGTACTAAGTTCGTAGATAAACGAGCCAGCGGTTTCATTAAACGTCAAGGATTCCATATAAATGATTAATTATTCCATCTCCTTCCTGGTGATCTTCTCTTTCACTTGTAATCAAACAGACACACAGAGAAACAGCAGTCCAAAGTGTAGAAACCTTCCGTCCAAAGTGTAGGTCCCAAGGACCAGAGCGAAAGTTTATCCAACCAACCTCTAGTTATTCCTTGGTCTAATTATTTATATCTAGTTATTCCTCTGACTGCCTCGGTGGTGCAGTGGTAGCGAATGCAACTGCTGTCCTGAGGTTTCGGGTTCGATTCAAGGGTCGGACCAAATCTTGGTATGATCTGCAAAATATTTGTTTCGGAGTTTGGGTGTTTTCTATTTTTAATATGTATGTATTGACAAAAAAAAATTTAGTATATAAGTATTCTATCAGGCAATCTAGCTTTCATAGTACAAGGCGCTGTGTGTTAGATGGCCCAAAATATCTAATACCTTTAAACGAGTATATATATATATTTATATTAATTTATTTATTGAGTCTTCCTGCAAACATATTGCATAATTCGAGATTATATATATGTATATATATACATATATGTAATCTGAATCTCGAAAACGACTCCAACTATTTTCTTGACATTTAGTATGCAGGGGGGGGGGGGGGTTTCGGGGGCGATTAATCGATCTAGCTAGTTTTTTTTTTTTAAAGTTACAAAAAAATATACTGAGCAAAGCTCGCTCATCCAGTCTAGTAGGTATTGGTAGTCCAGCTAGTCTACTCTTCGTACAAAGCAACTAGAGCATAAATACAACATTACGCGAAGAATTCGAGACTTAACACAGAGTTGTCTATTATTTAGTAGTAAACCAAATTTAAAAAATGAGAAGAATGATGAAGATTTCTCATTCTGACCTTCCTTAAGCATTAGGTATGCTGTTCAAATATGCATTTTTTTCTTTTGCTAAGACAAATTACATCAGCCTTCTTTTTATGAATAGAAAACAATAGGTCGTGTAGGACATGCATTCACAAGGTGTGATGTCATCAATAAATATTGTACTCCATTGCAGCTGAACTGAACATAAAATCAGGGTCGGTTTTCAAATTTAGTTCTTTCTTAAGAAAGTACCCTAGTCTGACTGATAACACGATGATTTTCTAAACCGTACACGTCACGGACAGAAAGAAACCTAACTCTAGAAGAAATTATCCTCAAAAGAGAACAATACAACATGGTTGACTTGGTGTTTGTGACGGGAGCATTTGAATCAAAGGTTTCTATCTCAGTTCTATTTAACTTCATATGGCTCCCATTTTCACCTTCGCTTGATTCACTTAAACTGGATTTCGAGTAGTTCCTACCTATTTTTTTCTGGTACTGTTATAGGAAATAATTCTACAACCAATGATATAAGAATTCGGAGAGCTCCGTAATTCTGTCTCTCCTTTTAATTCAAGGTGAATTGGTTCTTGATATTTGCGCATTTGACTTGCTTTTAACAATCAATAAAAAACTCACAGTTAAGGAACCATAAATGAGGTCAGTACATCACTAAATGACTACACAACCTAACTGTAGAGCCTCACCTAGCATTCCTGACATAATTTTAATTAGAAGAGTCCGTGCCACGTATTTATCCATCGCCACAGTTTCGTGGGCTCGAGCCATTAGCGATATGTATTAGATATGTTGCGTATATTCAGGGCCGGACACTTTTAATAGGTTCATTTCGAAAGACATTAAATCAGTGTACTCCTCTTCGGTTGATACATGCTGGTATATAAACACAGGGAATTATATTATGCAGGATGTAGTCAAGTGTGTCTTATGAAGATAGGTATGTGAATTGTTTTTATTTAAATAAAGGGCAGATTGGTAGGGTTGTGGAGGGTTTTTTTTAAATATAATGACAAAGCTGTCCAACTGTATACAACGTGACTGGTTATGTAGTTTGTGTGTCTATTCACAATGCATATGATTACAATCAAATTACAAAGGAATGAAAAAAATGAAAAGAATGAAATAATGACTGCACTGCTGCTGAATTTCTACTGCGCTGAGTGTTGTGGGTTCGATCCCCACATGTGGGTACAACGTGGGACAACACGGTGTGATCCACAAATTGTTGTTCTGAGTCGGGGTGTCCTTTGTGTCCGTTTCATGTATGTTTGTAAAGTTTCCCGGAACATAGGAAATATTCCTAGTGCGGGAGTTCTTTAAAAAAAATAATTAACGATAGTGTGACGTTTTAGACAAAAAATTATAATGAACTGTGTTTTTGTTATCTTGAAATAGATGAATTACTTAAAAAAACACTTTCATTAATTTCTTCTACTAACAGTTAAATCCAAAATTCTAGTTTAATATTTTTTAATTTGATAAAAATCTAACACTCATCCGTTTCGATGCGTGTTGGCAAAAACATTCTTCCATTAAATACGGGACACTTTACAAACTGTAAAATGATAAGCATAGCTCTTATCATTTTATTATCCATATTACAAAACTAATCAAGTCGGCGTTATCTCAGCTCTATTTACTATCTGATTATTATAAATAGATTATATTACTACAAAAATGGAGTAACATAGAAAGTAGTATTAACAAGAAACTGTACTTTAGCTTATGCATTTGAACGATGATTATTTTAATCATCAAGCTTGGTGATAAGCCGCTTCAAAACAACAGTGATATGCTGTCGATGCTGAACATTGAGTTCCAGAGCCATATACTGGTGTCCTTGGGCAATATGCATATTGGATGTTCGGGCGAAGATATTGGAGTAATGTCGTATCATTTCTTTTTTGGAGTGCTTTTTTTATAACTTCAGATACCACACACAGGGCAGTCTTATTTCAGACTAGAAAGACGCTGTTAGTTTAAGAATAGCATGTGCAGGAGCTCATGTAAGATTCTTTTAAAAGACAACTCCCGCATTAGGAATATATCCTGTGTTGCGAGGGACTTCACATACATACATGAATCGGACACAAAGAACACCCAGACTCAGAACAACAATTTGTAGATCACACAAAGTGTCGTCCCATATCGGGATCGGACCCACATCACTCAACGTAGTAGTAAGCGGGCGTGGCGACCGCTTAAACCACTACGCCATCCATGCAGTAAAGTGCAGAAGTGTGCCTCCTGTCGATAAGAAGCATTGTGATGATGACGTAAGCATCATCTACATACTTTCTTTAGGATATGAACCAACTGCAATTCGGGTACACCTTGGTATCAGTACTTTCTACAAGTAGGTATGTATTCTAAATCCTTACTCCTATACTACGTGTATTCAAAATTTTATGTAGATCGTTCGGATAGCGAAAGCGTAACAAACAAAATTCACTTTCGCATTCATAATATTATTACTGCCTTAGGCCGCGGCTTCGATCACACAAAGTTACTTTTTTCTCTTGAGAACAGCGTTTTTTTTTTTTGTATAAAGTGACCCTATCTCTACACTTCTTTTAGCATGGTATAGAGGGGCAAACCCTTCACCTGATGGTAAGTGACTGTTGTCGCTCGTAGGCACCTGCGATTCAAGATATTGCTTAACAGGGATCTTGTGAGGGTGCCCACGTTCAAACGTTATTACTATATTTCTCTTTAGCTTTGTTTTTTTTTTATGAAAAGGAATCCTTAAAATTCTATACACCTGACAACGTGTATGCAAAGTGTTATGATAATCGGTTGAGTAATTAATGCGGAAACGCTTGACAAACTAACTCGCTTTCTTATTTTAATATTAGTTACGATTTAGGTTAGTTGGTATTTACTGGTAATCTTGAATTATTTAAGTCGTTATAACGAAAATACTGCTAGGAAACTAGTAGACTAGGCGTAATCCAAAGAACTCTTATGTAACGAGTATAATAAAAACAGAAATGGCCAAAGAATATTTTTTAACAATCAATACAACTTTTTATACAATAAACTTAATACAATACTATTTCTTATCACATATTAATTGGTTTGCTATGTGCACTAGTTTAAAAAAAAAACTTTGAAGTCTTGCTGTGTTAATAAATTTAGCTCATTTCAACTATAGACGTTTTCTTAACTTCCTTTCATGTACAAGGTTGAAATCGTTTTTTTAAAGTACAACAACTTAAAATATATAATCCTAAATCTAGTTTACGTTTATGATGAGAGTTGTCGTTTTTCTCTAACAATATATAGTTTACGATGTCAGAAATACATGAAGCTATCATGGGAAGCAATCGTAAATACCGTATTTCGATAAGAGATTAACTTATTTATTTATGTCTACAGTTTTATCCACAGATAGGTAGTAACACTTGCATCCGCCGTGTCACTTGCATCATTCTCTTTCGATTTCTTCACGCATATGTGGTGGTATAGACAAGGAATCAAAAACCTCATACATCGATACTAACTTGTTTCAAATAAATAAAATAATAATGTTGTGTTCATAAACTAATTTATTGATAAATCAACAGGAAATCAATTTGGTGTCTATTGTTACCTATTGTCGTTTCTTAACTACGAAATACACACCTTTATTCCAAGTTGTCTGATGTAAACATAAATCATATGTTCGATGCGCCAGCGCCGTTTTCGTGCAACAAACGTTCACGAAAAACATACGACATAATTGCGGATCTACGCTCCAATCACGATAATACCTAATAGCAGATATGTACACGATGTAGATAAGTTGGGGAACAATTTTATATTATTATTAACATGGCGTGTATTACATTATACCAAGGTTATTTAAAAAGAATCTGTTAATTTTAGGAGCCGTCAAGTTACACAAACTGCCAAGTATTAAAAATTAGCATTTTTCTATCATAGTTCTATCATATTTAGTAGTTAAGTTAGCGCTCAGTTTGTCAACTTCAAGGTAAAACACGTCATTATTGAACGCATCAACAGCATTGTAAATCCTTACACGTTTATCAACAGCACGGAGGCAAGCTCTTAATAAACTGGTCAGAAGATGTCTTTTGTAGACAGTCAGTACAGTGAAAGTACTGGGCCAGCAAAACATCAAAACAAACTTGAGACTCGCCGGCCGCTGCCTGCTAGTCGAGTCGAGATCCTGCGATTCACCAACAAACACGATCGATAAAAACAATGAAAATAGACGCAACCCCCGTCTGCTATACGCCACTGCTTACCAATTAATAATTTAGGTATTGAACATAAATAATAAAGTAAACATTATACCCCTCACAAATGTTTTTAGCTAAAACTAGCGAATTGTCTAAACTAATAACCTTTCCAAGTTGAATCTAATAAGATTTTTCGCGGATTAACTAACGTAATTCTAGTTTCAATGACTCCGTGAGCAGCGTAAAGACTTACCAGATGCAGGACGGTGTTCACCAGCTCCCTGTTGGTGACTTGTCCGACTTCAATGAGCCCGATAAGAACTGCGAATTTCAGGCTATCGTTCGTCGTCATCCTTACCACTTCTTCAGGTCTTTTAATATCACTAAAAGGCGGTGACTTTAAGTCCGCCATGGTTTATTTTGTCACAATTCACTGATACACAATTTTATAATCCACTCACGATCATGAAATTCAAGAAAACATTATTCCCTCGGCTCACATGATAACACACCAAAGTCGCATTCTGCCATTTTGGATTATTGGATGGGCTGCCATCTAATAATTAGAAATAATACTATTAAAAAGCTACCATGTTACAATAATTTTTAAAATGGTAGTAATTTTCATTTGAATTTTTCCATATTTTTAACTGCTTTACTTTACATGTTATTTTTTATAAAATATTTCACTTTTCTTTTACATTTTGTGCTCTTTAAAAGTTATAATTTAGGGCGAACCAGGAGCTATGAGTAGGGCAATACTATAGACAGCATAAAGTGTTGCCAACCTTAAAAAAAATCCCTTACCAATGAGAAATATTCCAACCTACTGGAATGGAAGCATAAAATTAGGGAAGATAACTCGAATTAAAACAAGAATTATTGGCGATAAATATCGTAGGCAACAGAAACAAATTGAATTAAAAATCACCTCATTTTGCTAGTAGGCAATAAGAGTTACTATAGAGCATTGCCTGAAACCCACACATATTTAATACGTGTAGGTGATAGCCACTTGAACCTATTGGGAGTCATTATCCTACGAGCCTTTTCCCAAACTAGGTTGGGGTGAAAAGCAGACTTCAAAATAAGGCAATCATCAATTCAACTTATTATATTGTATTAATACGACAAGGCTGAACTTAAATTTTTTACTTACAGTAACTGCCATTAGACCTCCACAACCCAAGTACTAGATGCTATCGAAGTTCTGTAGATAGACTTTTAGGGCTCGTACCGTACCCGTAATGATTGCCACAGATGTTCGTACAACAACTTTGAGCTACGCTTGTTTTTGGTAAATACATACATATTATACCTATGAAGAACGGTGAACGGAGAAGCTTGGTGTGGTGAACTGATCGAGGCAGCATTTCACTCCGGCCCACCGCCTTCAGCTCTGTAAGGCGCAAGTCCGGCCGCATTTGGAATACTGTTCTCATCTCTATGTAGGGACTGCTCAGTACCAGCTTGTCCCTCTGGATCGCATTCAACGAAGAACGACTCGAATCGTCGATAGCCCAAACATCCCATCCATCAGCCCAACGATCGGCGGCGATAGAAAACGAGGCCGTCAAACATCTGAACATTAGATGGGTAAAAAGACGTAAGTCCTCATGAAATGAATAAATGTAGATAAGAAATGTTATTCGAACATTTTATGACTGTTACAATCACACATCATTAAACAATAATGATGTGTGGTTACAATAAAATTTTGCTTCAAAATTCCTATTCCAAATTTTTTGAGAAAATACATCAAAGTGAATCACCATTTTGAAATGCTAAAGGTATGTACATGTGCAAGATACGTTTTACCCACAAAAGCTTTTATTATGTTACCAGCACTGGATACTGAAGTGAGTTGATTACTGCGAAACTTAAAGTTGAGCTCAGTTCACTTCACATCAATTTTAGTTTCTGTTTGATGAAAGAAATCAGTCAAAAGGTAAACATGGCGGCGATGGACGTTGAGCCACAGAAAGTGAGTGAATAATAGTGTTTTGTGTTTTAAACTTTTGTTTTGCGTGCGTGTATTCTTAGTCCTATCATAATAAATATAGTGAATAGTTTAATTCAAATCCGAAGTCTATAATTCTACTTTTTATCACAGAAGTCTTTCACACAGGGCGTTGCTCTTTCGCTAATGAATTTGATTCTATATAGGACACTTCGCTTGTTATCAATGTTAAAAAGTACATTTAACGAACATTGAGTCTTGATTTATATTAGAACGTGTTATATATTTGACTTATTTCAAGAGATTAACTTCTAATAATACGCGCGTCACTCGCGCCTCTATTTTATTTTGAAGTTATTATTTTGTGATTTGTTTTAGGTTGAAAATTTGATGCGAACCCTAAAGCTGTCGGGGCACGTCGGTTTCGACAGCCTACCGGACCAGCTGGTGAACAAGAGCGTGCAGAATGGTTTCGTTTTCAACATCCTGTGCATAGGTACATAACGTGAACATGACTAACATATTGTACTACGTTGGTTAATCACCTATTTTGGGACTGCAACTAGTGTTCCATTACTAAATTGAAATGTTACATTCACAATTAGGATTGTGGACAATAAATTTTACTTCAAAAGAGTTAAGTATTCAAGATATAAATATATTTTTTAGGTGAAACGGGTCTGGGCAAATCAACATTGATGGACTCTTTATTTAACACCAATTTTGAGTCGGTTCCTAGCCCCCACAACTTGCCCACCGTCAAGCTTAAAGCACACACTTATGAACTTCAGGAGAGCAGTGTTAGATTGAAGGTAGGTCACAACTGAAAGATGGTAATTATATAAACTAAATAAAAAAATTAGTTTGTGTGTGCTGTTATTAAATGCTCTGTGCTTATTTTTAGTAGAAAATCTTCAAAGTGAGTTTATTTATAGAAATAGTATGACATACCTTAGATATTTACGCTAACAAGATGGTGTAGAAACTAGCCTTAAATTACAGTGTTGTGCACAGTAATGCCAAATAATTGAAGATCACAAGATACTTAGTAGTAGTAGTTGTGATAAGAAACCAATTTCCAATTGTAATAATAAAAATATGTTTTTAAGTTATCAAATACGCTAATCTAATAAGATTATACAGATCATGTTTAATGGTTTAGTACCAATATTAAAGTTTTGGCCAATTTGTCTACATGTCTGTTATAAAATAGAAATTGTTGAATTTATTAAGAGACAAAAAATAAGCATTTAAAACAAATTATTATTACAATATAAATAAATATATTTTTATTATTGTGTTATTATATACTTCATAAATATTAATTCACTTCTATTACCATTAACGCTTTTGTTTTGTCTTAAATGTGCAGTAAAATTGACAAATCGTACTTGGAATATCTTAACTCATTTATTCTATCTAAATGCTCTAATCGTGCATGTTAGGATGTACTGACACTTGCATCTTCAAGATGTCTAGTTGTCATTAATGCTATGAAATTTGCTTAGACATAAAACAAGCAAATATTTAGGTATTAATACTAGTGTATATGCTGAAAACAGTTTTATATATTACCAAATTAATAGTTACCTAAAGCATTAGGAAGTTCATTGACTAATACAGATCCCTTCCACCCCAGTTGACCATCTGCGACACAGTTGGCTACGGTGACCAAGTAAACAAGGAGGACAGTTTCAAAGCCGTTGTGGACTATATTGATGCTCAATTTGAGGCCTATCTACAAGAAGAACTCAAAATAAAGCGTTCCTTACCTGCTTATCATGACAGCAGGCTACATGTGTGTCTCTACTTCATTTGTCCCACTGGTGAGTTACATTGATAATAATAATAAGCCTTTCTTTAGGATGATTCAAAACATATTACAACAATTTAATCATTCTGCCAAACTACACTGCAGTTTATTTGCAGACATAGGTCCCATATTATTAAATCATATTATAATAAATTTATTGTCATTACACTTTCTTTTCAATAATTTAGTAATCAAATCTGAAAAAAAAATACAGAAAGGCACAAAAAATAATGATGCACACATGCATTAGAAAAAAATAATCTCGCACAAGGCCGTCTGATTCCAAATGAGGCGAAGCCTGTACTATGGTAATCAGACTGCTGATAGATATACTTATAAATTTCTAAATACATACAAATTATAAAAAAAATTACACACAGAGTGCCACAAATTATCATGCTCATCACACAATTATTAAACGCACAAATCAAGATCACTGAAGCTAATGTTAAAATTTAGTAAGACTAGAATCATTTAAATTGTGTAAACTACCTGTCAATATGTTGCTTGATCTGCTTTTAATTGATGTATCTAGTAAAACATTATATATGTAGGCAAAATAACTCTTAATAAATTCCAAATGAGATGAAACCTGGGGTCACTAAATTGGAGATTGCCAATATAATTATACTTTAGTAACACAAGTTTTAGACTTTGTACATCAAACAAACCTGCTCAGTCTCCTGCTTAGGCACTTAGAATTTTCGTCGGACTTAGGATTAGTCGAAAAGGAAAGGGGAAGAAGTCAATTTCTTCTATTTTTAATGGTGTTATGATGATGCTCATAACACCATTATTTGTTCTGGGTGAGAATTGAACCCTTTTGTAATTTTAATTTGAACTGGTCATTCAATGCATATGTTGGTATGCCTTGACATTACCATTGCTGTAACTGAATTTAAGTAACCAGAGGCTTTGTTTAGGTTTTCTTCTTTTACGATGAGTACTTTGAGTAATCTTGTTTAATTCAGTGAAATAAATCTAAGCCGTTGTTGAAAGTATTTATCAGAGCTTTACGAGAAGGTTTTGCGTTTGCATGCTCCAGTAATCCTATACCACCGGACGGGCTCTGATGTTCTTTATAATACAAAAAAATACAGAAAAAAATGGGAAATATTATATCGTGTTAGTCTTGATAAAACGTTGCCGAATCCCGATTTCCTTCTTTTCTCGGCATGTCATTGTTTCAGTGACTATGGCGTTTGAACCGTGGACCGTTTTAGCACTTTTTAAAGATTGTTTCTTTCTGAATATTAAGCATGCCATTTCCTTCCTCCGAGCCTTTTTACCAAACTAGGTTAAGGTGGGCTTTTGAGTCTACTAAGATCTGGCTGAACTTCGATTTTTTACACGGAAGACTGGCATTAGAACTCCACAACCTAAGTAACGATTCCTGTAAAAAGACTGTTCGGAATTTTTAGGGCTCCAGCTACTGTAACGATTGCCAGAGATGTTCGAATGGCCACTGGGAGTCGGTCCCGGTTGCCATGCGACTTAACGTGCTCTCCGAGGCACGGATAACTGTCAATGTGTTAAGAATGGTCGCCCATCCATAGACTAACCTTTCTTGGATTGCTTAACTTTGCTATTTGTTAGCTTACTCGGTTATCACTTAGCCACGGGCTCCTGCGTAAAACGTTTAAACATACCAACAAACAAAAATCTTTGGAATATTGTTTTATTAGTCGAAAGTCAATAGACCTATCTGACTGGAGTACATTTCTAAATATAAACACATATTAAATAAACCGATTAATACTTTCACTACATTTATGCGTTTATTAGTCCACTGAACTCGTATTTTATGACATGTCCTTGACACAAACATATAAAGTGACATACATTTATATGTATAGAGCGTGGATATATTCAGGGCGCGCGCGGCACAGTACCGACGCCCCCGAATCCTCTATGGGCCTTCGTGGAGGATGTAACGGGATTTTGTTATACATACATAAACCTACTTAGAATAAAATATAAACATAGATTTATTCACGAAATTTACTCTTATTTGAATGTACAAATATACCTATAGGTATAATTGTTTTCACTCATCACTATTGAAACTTTATATTGTTAAATAAAAAAATATTATTTAAAGACCTCGACTCAGACATAAACAATGTCTTTCTTAACAACTTCGCTATCAAATACGAAAATAATTATTCTAATAAAATTCTAGTCATTTTGATGATCGCGTATCTTCTATGTATAAAGCGGACTGTTTGTATTTTTGAACGTAAGTATTTGTCCGTAACCATTGATCAGTGTGTCTTGAAGCTTTGGTAGAATCTACAAAAGACGCCGTTGAAGATTTCCCAAAAAATGATAAAAAATAATAATATCCACATACTTTTCTTTCGTATAATGAAACTTTATAACGCCTGATATACTTTTTTGTTTACGTGCTTGGCAACACTTGGAAAAAAAAAACGAATGAAAGCATTTTCTGAAGTGAAATTGCGCTAGCGTCATATTATTGAACCACCAACACACAATGCAATGATAAAGGAAACGCTTAAAATTCCTCTTTACAGATAGGTACACTTGTATAATGTGTACAGTACACTAAGAAAACAAACAAGTGCATCATACACAAGGCTGGTGACGACCGCGATACCGCTAATGACGGACCTCGATTACTACATAACAATTACAAACATTTACCAAATATGAACACACTGTTTCATTGATATGTACATAATTGAGTCGATCGTACATATTGATTACGTCTATTTTAAATAAATTATAGTTGAGTTAAGCTATGTTAATAAAGCACGCTTTTGTCTTACTGTACTGTTAAAAATGTTAAACCTTGGATTAATGCTTGCCACACCAGAATGATTTGAAGAGTCTGGATAAAATTTGGAGATAGATATACTGTGGAATAGCATATGGACTACTTTTTATTCGGGATTTGTTGAAAAAATTACCATTAACACGAGCGAAGCTGGGCGCAAAAGCTAGTGGGTAATAATAAAAAAGTAAAAAATAATAATTCCACTATCCACTTGCTAGTTAAGTCAGATCAGCTCTAAGATGCAAAATCATAGTATGTTATGTACTGTTATCCAAATTACTATAATAATAAGTTTCGTTTAAATACGAAAATTTTAATTTTTATAATAATTTGACATATTCACCACTTAGAGTTTGTATTGTCTTATCCACACACATAATATTTTATTTAAAAGTAAATATAATAAAATTGACTTCCAAATTTTATTTACATCGTTACAATACAAGTGTAGCTAACGCAAGCATGTAAATAAAAAAAATTATTATTTAACTTGCAACGTTGTAAATTTAATGCTCGTAGAGTTGTATTTTGTATATATCTAAATATATAAAAAAGTCGGCTTGTGTACGCTTCAAAAACTCAAAAAGTTTTACACAGATTGAACTCAAATTTTGACAACATATATAAACCGCTTCAAAGATAGATTTTTCGCCTGAGTTTTGTTCCTCATTTCACATCAATTCAACCAATATGTGCCACAGCGAATCGTGGCTGGGTTCAGCTATTACGAAGTATATATTTTAGCTGATAAAGGAAGCGTGTATAAACAAACGCGATGACGTTCAGAAATATATCTATTATCAATCAGTTGAGTTTATTTTAGGTAAAGACAAATGTCGTTTATTTGCTCGCAATGTTACCAAGGAATTGTTGTTATAAATAGCTGCCTGGTTTTATATAAGGAAATAGCAATATAAAAAGTTATAGGGATAATATAGTCGGTATTAAATTGTACAGCTACTGCGATCTGCTTGCAGTTCAGTTCCGAATTCCCATTAAAGACGGCAGGCTAAATAAAGGTATTTATTCTACTAAGAGCTGATAATATACAAGATGAATAGAGAAACTCTTCATCATCCAACCATCGTCAACAAGTCCAATCAGTTGCAACTAAACCCTACCATATGAGCTCAAAGTCGAGGGATTACTACTCTTTAAATGGTTACTACTAGTAACCATTTAAAGAGTTTCAGTACCCACGTCCTGGCTCCATTATCAAATCGCTTTAAGACATCAAATTGCGGTATTGTCAATACTAATTTTCTTTAATAGTTTTATTTTAACATGACAATTAAAAGTAAGTTAAATTGTCTCCCAATATTTGTTTACGAAGCTACTTCATTGAGTGAAGTAATGCTAGAAAACCTTGTTAAAATAAACCGAATCTCAGGCTGTAGTCATCTATTACTCTTGTGTGTAACATTACTAGAAAAAACAGTTTTTTTGCATATTATTCAACTTAACATGAAAATATTGAGCACTATGTACTTAAAATAGTTTGAATTTCTAAGGGGTTGCAACCCAAAGCCCTTACTAATTACAGGAATATTATGAAATACTGAATCCAAATTATTATATTGGAATGTATAATTGTGAGCCCTGAATATGTTTGCAGGTCATGGCCTTAAATCTATCGACTTGGTGTGCATGAAGAAGTTGGACACCAAGGTGAACATCATCCCTATCATTGCCAAAGCAGACACAATCTCCAAGACTGAGCTGCAGAAATTCAAGGTAATCAAGAACATGAACATTGATTTTATCTTCTATCCTATCCATATAAGGGTATCAGGGAGTTAAATATTAAATACGTAATTGAGTTGTGATGGTATGTCGTGTCTCTTGTTATCTATCTCTCTATTGTCGACAATTCATACACAGTTATATAAATAACTGTTAATTCCAAAATTAAAGCTATCAATAGATATGAAATACCTTACTACGTAGCTTAGGATTGCCTATCGTTTGTCGACCAAGGTCACATATGGTAATAACATTTTGGTGGCGATAATTCTCAAAGTAATGGCATTGTAAATACTGTAATGCCAAAGTTTTAAAGGTTCATTCGTTTTTTTCAAATTTCTTCTGTTGTGTGTGTGTGCCTGTGTTTTATATAATACTTTTTAAATGTATATTAATAAATTTAGTTGACCGTGTAGAGGCAATTTGTATACATACTTGTATTTGAAAGAAAATCATCACCTTCTTATACTTTTTGTCAATGAGTATTCTTCTTCCAATCTCCTCTATTATTCGTCATTCTGGCGACCGGATGCCGGAATGGTTTGTGTAACAGACTGCTATTCCAAATGTCGCGAGTTCGACTCCCGCTCAAGTCAAACATTTGTGTGCATGAACATTTAATGTTTGATTTGGTCTGGGTTTTTCTATGTATAATATGTATGTATTTACAAAAAAAGTATATCTGTTGTCTAGTACCCATAGTACAAGCTCTGCTTAGTTGTGAAATAAATGTGGTAGAGTTTGTTTCAGAGAAAGATAATCATGAAAATAATTTATTCATATAAGCCCGCTACGAGGAATAACTAACAAATGTCTCATAAATATTTTGTATTCCAGTCAAAGATAATGCACGAGCTCCAAGCGAACAGTGTGGAGATATACCAGTTCCCGGTGGACGACGAGTCGGTGACAGAAGTGAACAGTGTCATGAACTCACACATTCCCTTTGCTGTGGTCGGCTCCACTGATTTCGTCAAGATTGGCAACAAAACCGTCAGAGCGAGGCAGTATCCCTGGGGCACTGTTCAGGGTATGTATTTGTATTATTCTAATATCTTGGTTCATCTATTATTATTAAATTACACCCAGACGGTGTTACTTTATCTATAATATACACGGTGATTTTGAAAGCGTTTTGGAAACGAAATATTTGAATTTGGAATCATCTATAGTACCAATAAAAATGATTAAATCAATTGTAATGTTGTCTAAAAAAAAGTTTCAGTTTTAATATTCATTTTTACTCGATCGACTTGGAAAGTAGTAATGGACTGATCGTTCATTCATTATCTTATATGAATGAAACACGTCCGTGGGCGTTTCGGCGGCCGCTGCGCACCGCCGACGCTAACAGCAGCTGACAAAACTATACCTATAGGCGCGAGCTAGCGAGTACTTACGTAGATAGACTCCAATTTGTCCTTCATACTTTACACGGGCTTAGGACCGTCAGAAATACCTATTTTATTTAAACTTCTTTTCGATTATTAACCACGATTGTTCTTTTCACAACAAATCAATTTATCAACGGACTGTAGGTATAAATATTTCAGGCGTATTTAAAAAATCGGAGCTATCTACAGAATAATTAACTTACATACCTATTTACACTATTTACAGTTCTCTGTATCGAAGGAACTGCTCAAAATGGAGTCCGCTGCATTCAATACACAAACGTCCACGTTTAATGCAATTGTTTTTTAATTTTCTTAATGTGTCTCTATCACTTTTCACTTTAAAGCGTCCACTATCGCAATGCGTAAATTATCACGGCTTTCATATTCCCGTGTATTAACAAGTCTTTTTATTTCCGACCATAAGAAAAAATCCAGGGGCGTTAAGTCCGATCACTAAGCTCATTGTCCAGGTATGCACGCACTACACTCCGGCGAATAATAATTAAAACGTCCTTGACCTTGCGCATGAGTAGGCGCACGAAATTGTCCGTGGTCGAGAAGACGTTGGGTTGCAGCCAAGATGGTAGGTGTGGAGGGAATTTGAGGGCTTTCAATTCCACGTAGCCGTAGTGCATTTAAATGCTCCGGCTTGGGAATACAAACGCCGAGCCTCTTCCAAGTTGTAGTTGGCAGTAGCGTACAGCTGTACCATTGCCAAGAAGTATTCCACGTTTGAAAATTCGTACTGTCGACTCATTTTAGCGCTAATCAATGCAGCGTGCCGTCACGATGTTATGGTATTACTGACCGACTGACGATGACAGGTGAGCCCCGCGCATGCGCCTACGGGGCAGACGTCATTGGTTGGACGACTCCGGCGCAACTCGGTAGCTTTGTTTTTATTGGCGAATACGATTTGATGTGACTCGATATTAAAACGCATAGTATTTCTATTCGTAGTATTTACCTACGTGTGATTGAATAGCCTACTACTACTGGTTCTGACTTTTTCTCTGTAAACGATATGAATATCGACTTTGATGATAAAAAAAAATATATTTTATTAAATTAACGTTATATATAGCTTCTGTTACTGATAAATAACTCAAAATTTTCTTTTCCAAAACGCTTTCAAAATCACCGTGTATATGTGTATTTAGAAATATTTAAGTATGTTTATCAGCAGTCTGATTACCATAGAACAGGATAATCAGACAGCCGTGTGTGACATGCGTGAAATTTTTAATATTATAATTATTTTTTTGTTAATCATTAAGTAAATTGAATTTGGCAAGTGTCCAACCTCGTATTGACCTACAATAGCTGCTTTATATTTAGTTTTGTATCGTCTGAACTTTAATGAAGTGGTTTAGTAAGTTATGTGTATTGATTACTCATAACACTAGAACATTGTAATGCACTAAATTAGAATTGTGGTGGTAAATGAGGTATGCAGGTTATGTCTCTTGGTTATTGAAGTGAGTCACAGGTATGTAATATTTAATTGCTCCTTGAGATCTTGTAACAAATTCATTCAAACAAAAACAAATCAAAACACATCAAACAAAACATTCATTTTACAGAAATGGTAACTTTTCCGTTTGAACCATACTGAAGTCTCATAGATATTGATAGTTTTATTCTTCACTATAATGATGTAATTAGAAACATTTATTATTAAATCGGGGCATACAACGGTATTAAAATAAATGTATCCTCACAATGTCTATGACACCACGTTGCAGTGGAGAACGAGTCTCACTGCGACTTCGTGAAGCTGCGCGAGATGCTGATCCGCACGAACATGGAGGACCTGCGCGAGAAGACGCACGCGCGCCACTACGAGCTGTACCGGCGCCGCCGCCTGCAGCAGATGGGCTTCACCGACGTCGACGCCGACAACAAGCCGGTGAGTACAAAGCTCTGCCCCTCACTTCACTCCTCTCTTCCTCACTCCACTCTCTCTTACTGTCTTTTGCCTTACTCCACTCTGCCTCACTCCACACCTTTGCTGAATCTATTCTGATTTACAAGTTGTAATGAATAATAAAAATTAGCAAGCACTTAAGCCTTAAAACACTCAACTAGTAACTGATTATAGCTATTTGTATGATAATATTAACATAGAAAGTGCCTGACTAAAACACCTCAACACAAATGAATAACAGAATGTACTTACAGTAATAAAAGAAAAACACCGTAAACCAGTCAGTGTGCCTACACAGAATAATATTATTTTCACTTCGTAGAATTAATAGATAAATAACTCTTTATTTGCACACATTTTACAAGTATTAGTGTACATAAAAAGTATAATTGAATAATTTATAGGACAAAATTGTAAATGTCATTGATAATTTTGTTCTCCACCGGCAGGTGTCATTTCAACAAACGTTCGAACAAAAACGCAGCGCCCACTTGGCTGAGCTTCAACAGAAGGAAGACGAGATGCGACAAATGTTCGTACAACGAGTCAAAGAAAAGGAAGCTGAGCTCAAAGAGGCTGAGAAAGAGGTTAGTGTACTACAGACTTATACTACATGATGCTTAATAGAAGTAATATATGCTTGAAGAAAATCACATCCTCAGTGGTTTCGGAGTCCCTCTCCCCTTTGCTTTTTGGGGGAACCCAAAGGCCTGCGACGCACTTGTCTTATCATTTGCTGAAGGCCGTGGGCGGTGGTAATCATTTACCATCAGGTGACCGGTCTGCTATCCCTATGCAATAAATAAAAAAGAAATTGTCGTAAAGAATTATCTCTCTCAAAAGCATAACTTGCAATCTTATATAATGGTGACAATTTGTAAACTGAAATAAAAAACAATATGTGGAGGAACGGGTGTCATGTCTCTCCAACACAAAGGGAAGATCTTCCGACCAGGCGAGGTGATCATGCCTGGCGGGCCGCGGCCCAACGGTTGATGTTGGGAAGTTGTATATATGCTAATCGGCGAGGGAATTCTTTATATCACGATATAGGATTAGCAATTCTTATTTTAGTAGTGACTCCGTAGTTCGGTGTATCTTCATTAGATGGCGTTGTAGTATGTTTCTGTTTTTTTGTATGTGGGAGTCGCCACAAATATATATTCTTATTCAATTATTCCTTTTTGTTTTTGTACAGATTGTTTATGTACAGAATTCCAATTCTCGTAATAAAAGCTCGGTCACAATTCAGTTCCATATCAGCTCTTGATCCCACAACTGTCAACTACTTAAAATCTGAAATAAGAAAACTCACTTTTTTACTCGTTAGGTATTTAATAATCTAAATATAAGAATAGCAAATGGTATTAAAAAACATACAATACAATATATTGTACAATCAACATGCCCATAAATAAAAATTTAATATTTCAGCTCCATGCAAAATTCGACAAACTCAAAAAGGATCACACAGATGAGAAGAAACGTCTCGAGGAGCTCCGCAAAAAGGTGGAGGATGACACCATCGAGTTCAACCGGCGCAAGCAGCAGTCCGTTCAGTCGCACCACACGCTCACACTCGGCAAGAGCAAGAAAAAGTAACGCTCGCACCCCCCACTCCCCACCACCTGCAGCGGGCCCCGCCTCACCACGGACCGTACACATACATTGTACTAGCGAAATTCTCATAAAATCACATAACTTTCTTACGGTTGTATATTAAGTTCAGTTCCCATATTAATTTTATAGATAGTAATTACAAAAATAGTGTGTACAAATCGTTGAATTATACTGAAATTTAATCTGTACGGTCCCTTGAGTACGGTGTAATCGCAGTACTAAGTTATCAGCAACAAATCGCACGAAACTCACCAAGACTTTAAAGTAGTATTTATTTTTGCACACGTAAAACTAAATTATAGTTTTTTTACTATTATAATTATTTACCTTCCATATATCTACCATAGGTTCAATGCAATTTATTTAGTTCCAAATTTAATATAAATACTAGTTAAAACAAAAGTCAATGTAGTGACTGTGGTTGCCTTAGTCATGCCAAACTGTGTCTGAAAAATAAAATCATTAAAATAATGCTTTTATTAAACCTTTCGCGCATCTAGCGTGGTAGTCGCATCTCAAGTGCTGTGTGTCATCGTGTTAATCTCAAATTTGCGCTAAAAACAGATTCTTTTTATTCCTAAATCACAACAAACGCAAAAATCTCAATTTATTATGAATTAATTTGAAGTCTGTAGTGTAATGTAAGTATATATAAGTTAAATCGGCCAAATGATCTAATCAAACACGCGGAGTGACTTTTACCAAAATGTATTAAAATGAGATAATATTAACGTAATATCTATTATTTACAATTCTTAGGGTTAGTAGTATGTGAGGCTCGAATGTGATGTTGGACCTTTGCAAATCTTTCAAAACTAGCTTCATGTCAACTCTTTGATTCTATTGCTTCCATAACCTATTGTAAGTTACATTGTTTTGATAAATCTTGCTACTGTTCGAAAGTCTGGATGTACGTTGGTTTTACAGAACGACTGAAAGGATCTCGATGAAATTTGGTACATAGATAGATCATAGTGTGCACACAGATTTTCTGTTCTAGAAAAATTAGTCAAGATTATTGTGAACGAAGCTGTTTGCAACTGCTAGTGTTCTCTAGGCTCGTCCAACATATTTGAGCTAACACGTACGCGTAGTGTTTAGTTTTTATATAATAACATAATAATAAACATAGTTATGTTTATATAGTTTATGACGTACTGACATGACATCGCGTGTAATATTTCCTATTTACCATAGCGTAAGAAATAGCTAGACATCGAATGAATTATATTAATTGTTGTAAATCACATGCCCAACTTTTACTATATTTACAAATGAAGTAATTCTGTTTTACTCCAGTAAAGATCCCAACAAACTATAAAACGTTATCAACTTACAAAGTTCTCTCCATAGGTTTTTTCGATAGATTATTTTTATTAGTCTTAAAATACGCGATAAAATGATCATTCAGCATTTATTTAGACATTCCTAAATTAAATTGATTTTATACTTGAATTTGATTTACTTTGTATTACCTATTGAGGTATTTAATAAATAAAGTTTTAAAATTGTAATAATGTTTTATTTTTTTCCTTTTACAATGCAATCTTCTTATCACAAACATGATTAGCTACAACAGAAATAATTTTACATAACGTAGTTTTGGGAGCGAACACTGGCTATGGTTATGCTATTAATTGGACAAACAAAAATATGATAAAACAGTGGAGTAACGAGTTACAGCTTCCTGGGGCACTTCCGTTCATCGGAGGGTCTGAAGCTAAATCTCTGTTTCGAAGATAGTAAAAGTACAAAAAATAACCTAAATTCACATCAACTCAATATAATATATAATAACAATAATAATATACATACCTCACACATTTCACACGGCTGTCTGATCCCAAACTAGGCAGAGCCTGTGCTATGGTGACCAGACTGCTGATAAACATACTTATATATTTTTAAATACATACATATATTATTATAGATAAATTACACCCAGACACAGAACAAATGATCATGTTCATCACACAATATTTGTCCTGGGTGGGAATCGAACCCACGACCTCCTGCTTAGCAGTCAGGGGCACTAACCACTCGACCAACAGGCCCGACAATATACTTTAATAGTCCACTGCTGGACATAGGCCTCTCCTTAGAACGGAGGGTTTGGCTTATTTGACCACGCTGGTCCACCACCAACACGTTCTTTTACGAATATTATATGGTATTTTGGTGAGGATTGGTAGCATATATGTTGAGCTATAATGAGCTCATTTTTGGTCTCCTACAGCGATTCAACCATTGCCTAGAGTATAGATGATGGCTGTTCAACAGCTTCCTGGAGGTTGTCCATTTTTTAGGGTCCAATCTAAGCCTGGTGAACAGTATGAATATTTGCAGGGAAATAAGAAGAAATAAAATTTGAAAGTCTCCACAAATATGTGGGCTATTTATGTGGATGAAAACAATTATAAAGAAATTATTCAAATCAGGTGCGTCCATAATACATTTTTCATAGCCGTAGCATGACGTTGAGCGTGCAGAATTGTAAATACACTCAATGACAACTTTTATTTTGCACGTCACAGTAACTTACACCACGGCACTGTACAATGTTATGTTGTATTTATACGTTTTTGCTCTCTTATTCGCGTTTTCTTTATTAGTCGTATGTTCACCACATGGTTCGTTGGAATTGTAACTGACAGAAATAGCCAGTATAGATAGTTCAACTCAGTTGTGCGCGCGGCCCTATGTGTGCGTGGGCTTGTAAATATACAACTTTCATTCGTGTGGCAGTGACGCGGCAGTCGTCGTCCGAGCAGCACACGAGTGAAAGTTGTATATTTACAAACCCACGCACACATAGGGCCGCGCGCACAACTGAGTTGAACTATCTATACAAAGCATTGAAAAAATATTTGCAAATAGTTGCAACATATGAGAAATCGCGAATAATAAATAAAATGCAAAAATCGGTATTGTTCCATATCGGCAGCTAAAACACGTATTTTTGAGAGCTTAAAATAAATTTACTTTACTTTAATAAAATAAGTTCTAAGTCATGTATTTGAGTGTTAAAAGGTGATTCAATCCCATAGGTTCACCTCATTTTATACGTAAGTACTTCTTGGTCAAATTCTGACAGTTAACGTTATTGGGTACGAAAAACTGACCTATAAATATGTTCTGCTTGTTCCATATTATTGTTTTAATGGTGTTTCGTTTGCGCCGTTTGGGGCTTCAAATCCTGTGAAATGACTACACATCGAAGTTATTAATCTATTGTCCATATTATACGAGAGACACTGTTAGTGGCTTGGGTAGCTCGTAGCACATGGGTTTGTACATCTTCTTGTAGTAGGTGTAGCGACGCTTGTGTGGCGTCACGGAGGCGCGCACAGGCACCGCCAAGTCCGAACGCGCCTGGTTCTGCACCGGCGCACCAATACTCCATAACTTGCGACACTGTACACAAAGTTGGTATAGCATATAAACATGGCTACATTTACTGAACTTTTACTGAAATGTACTATAAAATTTTGCAGTTTTGAAACGGTAGGGGATAGCGATTAGCGAGGGATCCTGCACGTATGGCGGAGTGTTGTGGGTTCGATCTCCACATGGGACGACACTGTGTGATCTACAAATGGTTGTTCTGAGTCTGGGTGTTCTTTGTGTCCGTTTTATGTATGTTTGTAAAGTCCCCCGCGACATAGAATATAATCTTAATGCGGGAGTTGTCTTTAAAAAAAAAACTTTCTCTGAGTGAGTATTTTATATACATCCAGTATGATTATTGTTAATTTTTCTAACACCATCCCCATTTGACCGGAAGAGCTACTATGACTTACAGCGGGGCTCGTGACTAAGTAACCGAGTAAGTTAACACATTAAAAAGTTAAGTAATCCTAGCCAGGTCAGTCTATGGATGAGTGACCATTCTTAACACATTGAGACCCCTTCCCCGGATAGCAAGTTAAGTCGTCGGTCCCGGTTGCCATACGAACATCTGTGACAATCATTACGGGTAGTTCGAGCCTTGAGAGTCCAATAACAGTGTTTTTACAGAACTTCGAATCGCCTACTACTTGGGCTGTTGAGGTCTGATGGCATGACTCTGCGTAAAAGAATTGAAGTTCAGACGTATCGTAATTCGGAGTAGACTTAAAGCCAACCCAACCTAGTTTTGGAAAAAGGCTCTGAGTAAGCTAGTATTACAGGTATGCGATCCTGCCCTGCTCCTCCACCTATCCGTAAATGCACTATAACTATTCTTGCATTGGCTCCTTCTTTTACCTACTTTTGTCTTTTCAATAGACTTCCAAATTTTTCCAACAAGAGCGATAGCCAATTTTAGTTGGTAATATGTGGGCGATTAATATGCCTCTGCCTGCCGTTTTTAGGATACAGGTGTGATTATATTGTTGTAAGAAATAGCTTTTAGGTTACAGGGATTGAAAATAATCAGCGTCTTATTTATCATTTTACACATACTTTTAACTTATGAAGTAACTTGTTATTATGTTTACGGGAATTATCGCGATCAACATAGGTATTACAACGTCAGGCATTTCAAAGGTATATGTACTTAATACCTATCGTGAGCGCGTTAATCCCCGTACTAAAACATAATTATATATTACTAGCTTTTGCCCACGTGTATATCGGTTATCACGTAAAAAGTAGCCTATGTCCTTTATCAAGAATCTTTACCAAACATCTGATTCGGTTATTGATTCCCAATACAAACTTCTACCTTTTTTTCACCACCTTAAAGGATCAATTCTGGGATTAAAACTGTCCATGTACTTTACCGGGTCTCGAACTATCTCTATACTAATATTCATTAGCTCGTTTGCCCCTCTTCCTCTTCTAGATTTAAACGTGAAAAGTTAACAGACAGACAGACACCCTTTTGCATTTATAACCCTTTTGCATGGAACGCGATAGTTTAAAAGGTTTGAAGTAACTTCTCGCAGTGCCTTTTTATAATAACTGTCAACTGCCCAGTTAAACTGCGAGGGCTATAAGTATCAGACGGAATTTACGGAAGAGAAATGCTGTTTATCTCTTTCATCATAGAGATGTATTTCGCTGAAGCTGGTTTTTGTGTATTGACGGATTACGTCCACAACTACTTTGTGTTACCACTATCAGTGCTCAGCTTTTGCTATAGACTACTTGAAAAGCAGATTACTAGTAATTACAGAATACTTTTTACATACTCGTATATTAAGTTAACTTGTGTAGTTTGTGCTTGAGCAGGGTGCGTAGATGAGAGTGCACAAATGAAACAACACTGATATTGAATATCAAAAGTTTATTATAAACCATACAATAGTATAACTGTTGGCACAGTATTGCAGACAGGTAGTTTGGCAGTTATAACGTAAATATCATTCCCGCTTTATGTAAACGCTAAGCTCGTGATTATTACTTACGATTTGTTAAAACGATTGTAAGCAATCCTACTCGAAGACGTCAATAAGACATTTTAATAAGAGCTATTCACTAAAAGTCAATTATTGACTCTGTTATAAATACCTGAATCGAGCCGTGGGTTTATAAGGATTTACATTATTTTGATATGACTTTTCGTCTGCACAAGATGTGTACTTTCCAGCAAATATATTTGTATCACGTCTTTTCATATCTTGAAATGCCTTATTAATGCTTTGGAAGACTTGAAAACCCACGAACAATTATTTATTCCATTTTGAATGTGTATATCAATTTAAATGATAGTGTAATCGTGTTTCGTATAATACCCAAATTCAGCTGAATAACGAAAGCTTAAGCTTAGTTATAGGTATATAAGGTTGTGTATATATGTAGTTACTATGAATAAAAAACTGATTCGATACATTTTAAAATGATTAATTCTTTCTTGTTTGTGTAGTACCTACATACATGCAAACTTCGTCGTATATATTTATGAACACAGTGTTTATATCGAAGAATTCGATTGACTATCTAGTGCTTGTACGACTAACTCCAGTGCAAAAATATCATCTATGTAGTCTCATATGAAAATATACCATTTTGTGTGACATTTGTACCGTGGGAGTAGCTGTGCTTTAGGCCACATGTTGTGTATCTAGGTATGTATCTACCCTAACTATTGACTAAAGTGCACGTTATAATATTAGGTCTTTACCTATGAAATTGCCGTTTTGTATGCAATAAGTGAAAGTACTTACTTTTTCAAACTTTTTTATTTCTGTTATTCGAAGTAATCACCCATGCAATCGACGCATCTTTGCCAACGCATTGGCAGTTTATTGATGCCCTTCTTGTAAAAATCAGCTGGACGGGAGGCAACAAACTCTTCAAAGGCATTTTGTACTGCCTCTCGGGAATTGAATTTTTTACCTACTAAAAAGTTGTCTAAATTTTGGAAAAAGTAATAGTTGCAGCTTGGAGACTGTCTGTTGCGCAGTACGGGGTCGCGCGTTGTCGTGAAGGAGCAGTGGGGACGACCGATTGACCAAAGCTGGTTGCAGATGTGACCACCAGACCTTGCACCTACCGACAATTACTTTTTCCAAAATTTAGACAACTTTTTAGTGGGTAAAAATTTCAATTCCCGAGAGGCAGTACAAAATACCTTTGAAGAGTTTGTTGCCTCCCGTCCAGTTGATTTTTACAAGAAGGACATCAATAAACTGCCAATGCGTTGCCAAAGATGCGTCGATTGCATGGGTGATTACTTCGAATAACAGAAATAAAAAAGTTTGAAAAAATAAGTACTTTCACTTATTGCATACAAAACGGCAATTTCATAGGTAAAGACCTATTATAAACCAACAAAACTAATAAAATAAACCAACGTCTACAATAATCACTAACTTTATTGTCAAATTAAAGAAATGGGAAATTATAAAATATATATCACTCACACATCAGGTAAAATTAAAACGAAATAAATCTAACACAATTATCAGAAATAATTAAGATTGAAAACACAAATAATAATGATACAAATTTATAAGAAATAATATTGCAATTTGAAAATGATCAGTAAACTACATATTAACACAATGTCTATAATTAGAATAACAAATTAACTATGACTAGTTCTCCCGCGTCGCCGGAGCCGCTTACGCTACGAGATGATACCGTGAGATTGCTTAGTTAAGAGATCTAAATAATGCTTACAGTAACATAACTTATTGAAACTTCCATATAAGAATGCCTTAGTTAAGTGTCAAACTTTAAAACTAGTGGAATGAAAAAAATGGACATGCGGGAATTATCTGGGAGGCACCTCGCGTGGAGGGGGACTCCTATATTTGGCTTTGATGTGCAAGAAGGGTTTCTTGGAGGAGGTCTCGTCCGCAATGGTTGCAGCAAGCGACAGTCTGATGCTCTCTTCGATGGCGGCTTGCGTCATGGCTCCGTTCACTGTCACCGACTGGCTTTTGTTTAACGGCTTGAAGTCTACCGGAGTCGCGAGACTCATGCTTCTCGTCTTTTTAGCAAACCCGTTGGTACCGTTGAATATTTTCTTCGGTTCATTGATCGGTGTGGAAGCAAGACTCTGGCTACGTGTCTTTCTAGCTGCGACGGTCTCAGTAGGCGTAGTGGCAACACTCGTACTTCTGTTTTTCTTTGCCTGGTTGAGCCTGTCGGTACCGCAGAAGGATTTTCTTTCCTCCTTCGGCACGTGAGCCAAACTCATGCTTCTGGACTTTTTAGGAACAGTGGTGTTTAAGGAAGTCGTAGTGAGTGACTTTCTATATTCAATAGGCGGAGTTCTAACGGATCTACCGGTGGGGGTGTTCGGCGTACTGAAGCTGGAAGGTGCGGACTGCTTACGAGCTCGGGGTGCAGGGGACTTAGGAGCGCGACCGTCAACAGAGTCGGTCTTTAGAGGGAGTGTAAGTGCAGACCGGAGACTACGGGCTGAAGCTGTCTTAGTAGGCGTGGAAGTGCGGCGAGGGTCTCCGAGAGGGGAACTTTTCCCACTGCTGGTTTTGCTAGATGCTCGCGTGCTGCGGCCGCTACGTAACTCTACAGGTGAAGTTTTGCCGCTGACAGAGGACGCCTTGCTGTCGACTGGCGAGACGGTTCTGGAGGCAGACGGCTCACGGAGTGAGGCCCTACTGCTGGCCGGGGAGAGTGAGGGGCGAGTTGCAGGTGCAGGCTTGTGCTCTACGGCAGTAGTGGATGGCGGCTCGGTGTCCCCTGCTCCGCCCAACGCTACGGGTAGCACGTTGGCACTGCGCCCGGTGCCTTGCGTGACGAGGCGCACCTGACAGGGTTCGTGGCGAGACAAGAAGTGCTCCAGTGTGTCCCACCCGCCTCCAACGCGGACCATCATGTGGCGACCCTTCAGCAGCTGTAACATTATAACACGCAATATATTGTAAAAGTCCACAATGAAAAAAGAGAGAGCTTCGTGATTTGTGTAGGATTTAAAACCGAGACGTACCCTGATGAAGACATTTCTGCCGGCAATATTGTATCTGCCTTCGCCGACTTTCTTGACCTTCAACAACTTGGAGCACTTGCCAGAGCTGCAGCTACAGCCGCGCTCCATCAGCCGGGTTACTAATTGTACCTGGAATTTTAAAATTTATTACATTAATAACATTTTCTTGAAAATTATTTTAATAAAGGCTAATAGGAAACACATCTCAAAAATCTTAAATAAACTTTAAAATATATTTTTGACATCTGCCGTACCCTTTTATCCAGCTCATTGGTAGGTTTGAGTGGTACATCGGAGTCAGTGCTGGCCACGGTACTCTCGGATTTTGTGCTCTCTGCGTCTGCATTGTCCACCGCTGATAGATGCGCTGGAATTTTTTTTAATCAGTGAACCAAGGTACATACTTATTTGATATATTATACAAATTTGTGCTATTTTTACCAAAATAGTATATGTAAGAGAATAAAAGAAGTTATAAGATGGGTCGTTTTATACTAACCAATATAAAACTATTAAATCTTTAAGCAATTACTGTCAGTTGTTTTATGGATACTTATTCTAAAGTATCATCGTTGTACGACATTCTTATAACATGTATGAGGTTATAATGCAATGATAAACGGTATTTAGCTATTTATACTTTAATAGCCCGTAAAGAAGGCTAGTATTTAACTATTAATTTTGTGACGTTGATTGACCACATCTTGACGGGTCTAGTGGTTAGTGACCCTGACTGCTAAGCCGGAGGTCGTGGGTTCGATTCCCACCCAGGACAAATAATTGTGTGATGAGCACGATCATTTGTTCTGTGTCTGGGTGTAATTTATCTATATTATGTATGTATTTAGAAATATATAAGTATGTTTATCAGCAGTCTGATTACCATAGTACAGGCTCTGCCTAGTTTGGGATCAGACGGCCGTGTGTGAGATGTGTGAAATTATTATTATTATTATTATTATCTTAGAACATGTTGTAAATGTCACATGTTGTTTTAGAGTATGAGCGATACTTACAATCATTGGGCTCCGGCGACGTTGGTGGCACTTCTGCGGTGGATCTGAAAGCAGACATTCATACCATCAACATAACAAAAAGAAAGATTTATCCATATGATGATAGGTTTATATTATTTACACTAGGCATTAAGAGAAAAAGAATAGGATATTTAAGGCAGAGGTTACTAAAGTATATTAATATAAATAAATTACTAAGAAAACCTAGACAGAAAGATACTAAAGGTTTTGACAAGAATTATCTATGTAAATAAACATAGCTTGTCAAAAAACTTTATTTGCTAATGGAATAGCTCAGAACAACTCACTTGTCATGCTCTGGTGGAGGTGAAGCATCCCTGAATTGCCACGCGGTGCCCGAAATGCTGGACTCCAGCCCCGAATCGCGCTCTTCAAGTGCAATTTCCTTTTCCAGTTGCACTAGCCCAGGCGGTTCCACATTGAACTTGGTAGCTAAGCGAGCCACTTCTAGCAGGCAGAGAATTACTTGACGTGGCTGGTTGTGCAACACTGTAATAAACATAATTTTTAGTGATATATGACAAAATTGTTTTTTGTAGATATGTCATTGGAAATGGTGTTAAGGCTTACCTAGGTCGTCACTCTCAAACAGGAGATTCTCGTGGACTCCAAGATCACGACAAAAGGTTATAAAGTTCTCAGTGTTATCGCGGGAAAAGAAGCTCCGTCGAGCTGCGCGCTGCCAGCAGCGTCCGCGTATCTGTGGCACTGCCTGCTAACACAAACAGAAATTCATTAGGTACTTAAGATGAGCATCAGTGGGACAAGTTCAAGTACTTAAACAGCACAGTTGTTTTAATGGTATCATTGTCTAACAAAGTTAGAAGCTTTCAACTTATAGAAAAAAAAAGAAAAGGCTAGCAACGAGCTTGTGACTCTTAAGTTGCAAGTGTTCATGGGCGGCGGGAATCGCTTTTCATCAGGTGACCCGTCTGCTCGTTGGCCCCTATTCCATAAAAAAAGGTATTTTCTTTCTTTCTTTTTTAAAAAGATAACTACAGCACTAGAAAAATATTCTGTGCCGCTAAAGACAAACATTCATAAAACGGACACAAAGAACCCCAAGACTCAGAACAGTAGCTTGTGGATCACAGAGAGTGTTATTCCATGTGGGGATCGAACCCACAACACAGCGCAGTAGGAATCAGCGCAACGATCGCTTAAACCATTTTGCCATCCGCAGTATATTGATATATAATTCCTGATTAATGAAGTCTACTGACTAAAGTGACAGTACAACGCTAAGACATTTTAGGCACTATGAAATGATGTTAAATGCGAAATGTTTGCCCATTTATAAAATAAAAATATTTTGGTAACATTTTATCACGAAATCGAAAAAAAAATCTATGTATACAAAGTGGTTCTGTTTGATCTTAAGTTAAATATTAGTAAATATCACGTTGTCTATTTGCATCGAAGAATGAATGTAAACACTTTCCTACACAAATAAGTTACTAAAACTATCTAAGAATGGTAACTCGTGGTACACATTAAAAAAGTAATTAAATAAAAAAATGAGAGTGTAGCACTTACTCCGACGATCAGGCCCTGGTCTAGCGCTTCTCGAGCCCTGTCATGTATGACGGCAGCCAGCTGACACAGCTCGACACCGTTGTCCAACACGTCCAGGAAGTTCTCCCCACTCAGGTACGTTATACCTGTAAAGATATTTATCAATCAACAAGAGCCTTTAGTTGTCCACTGCTAGACATAGGTCCTTCATTAGAACTGATCTTTTGGTCTAATATACGACGGTTCAGTTTATTGACATGTTTCAAGTTTTCCCTTTCTTTACAGTGCTGTTGTCCTTCGTGGTTTGCTTCCTTAGTCGATACTTCCGACATCCACGGACTGAATAGGGGTGCTGACACTCCGTATTCTTAATCAGTCACCGAACGGATAGTGTAATTAAATATAACGAATATGTAATGTATCAATATGTGTATGTAATGTGTATAATAAGAATGCAAGCTGGAAATTTTAGTAGACTGTATTTTCCAATCATAATAAAAGCGCACATATTAAATACTTCAAAGGTTACAATTAAGAAAGAAAAAAAAAACAATGTTGCTAGATTGAATTACATTAAAATTATTGCCAAACCAAGTTTTTAATTATAACAAATTTTTATGTTTAATAATTTTATTCATCAAGCAACATATATTAAACCTTGATTATTCGCCCAACATTAATTATACCAAAGGGCTTGTATGTTTCAATATTACAATGTTACGGTTTGCAACAGAAATTATGAAGTTTTTAAGTTATTTAGCGCAAGTTTAATATGGTTAGTAAATAGACATTGGCCTTGGTGGAAACAACTTTTGTGCGTCTGGTTCTTACAGAAAATAATTATTATAGATTATAAAAAATGATAGGTTCACAAGTCTAATGGATATTGGTCATACTTGCTACTTTAAAGGTCGTGGTTAGGATTTCCCCCGGGGCCAGACAATTGTAAGATAACCACGATTATTTGTCCTGCGCCTTTTTTTTTTTCCGTGCGGAAATCCCCTCGGATACCACCTATCGGTGGCATGTCGGACTCGAACCGAGTAAAACCGCACGCCGTCTCGGGTACTAATAGCCGGGGAACCAGGTATACCCTAGAAAGGAAGTCCCTGGTGCAAATTTGTCCTGCGCCTGGCCGTAATTTATATTTTACGCTATAGAAAATTACTATAAACATACTAAAAATGCAAAACTAATAATGGTCAAGTTTATTACTTACTTATATATTAAATTGTATATTACTTTTATGGAATACGTAAATCAAATTAATAGCGGTTTATTGAATATCGAATGCAACTATTTTAAAAATTCTTAACCAACTTTATAATTATTTTTTTATCAATCCTATTAATCCTTTTAATTTAATACCTGGAGCTTTAGGACCTCGAGTGTATTAGGTACTTAAAACACCATCGTACTAGGATAACATAGATAATTACCCGTATTTGTAATAAGAATATACAAGACAGTATAGTAACAGACCCAGGCCGATCCGTTAGCGCTTAGATGCGGTCATTATTAACTGACAGGTTTTTACTAACGTTGCGTTTTCATGGTATTACTGTCCACGAAGTATGATATAACTATAGTGATGTGACGAGATAATATACCTTCAGTCCTTCACACATCTCACACACGGCCGTTTAATTCCAAACTAGGTAGGGCCTGTACTATCGTAACTAAACTGCTGATAAACATACTTATATATTTTTAAATACATACATATTAGAGATAAATTACACCCAGACATAGTCATAGTCATTATGGTCATCACACAATTATTTGTCGTGGGTGGGAATCGAAACCAAGACCTGGCTTAGCGGTCAGGATTACTAACCACATTTGATCTCTTTGAATACTCTATCCAAAACACAAATCATTGTTCAAAACTGATTAGTAGTTCCAGAGATAAGCGCAAACCAATAAACAAAGAAGTCTTCAGCTTTGTTAAATGTATTAGTATAATATTGTATGATTCTCAATTAAGTTTAGTCATAGGAATTTCATATTTACTTATACATATGTATACTATTATGCTACTGTTTGTTTTTCCATAATAAAATAAAATAAATAGAGCCTTGGTGACACTTTTCACAGAAATAACAGCAATGCGCTGGTACTGATATGATCAACTATGGTCCTTATTTTATATTACCTTTTCTTGGAGACACTTCTAAAAGACATCTTCTAAAAAACTTTATGGAAAAAAATCTTTGAAGCGGCGGAACAATCGGAGTAGAACGTCGAGTTTTTGAAGCGTACACAAACCAACATAACATTTTTATATTTATAGATAGATTTTATATTATTTTTTTTAGTCTAATGAATGTTAATATATAGTCGTTCTCATCACTAAGCGTATTACCGGCTGTTACCGACGGCGACGCGCCACGGAGCGTGCGGGGTTTCGCGATGCGTGCCTTATTCGCGTTGCAAATGTAAACATTGCGGTGTATATTTTTTATACGGTTGTTTGGAACGCTACGAGGCGGGTTGGAATTTCAAGTGTGCCTTCAAAAAGCAACAAATTGCAAAACTGTTACAATAGCCGCGACTGAGTGATATGCTAGGCGATATTTTACCATGAATTAACATTAGGGTTAATTAATTCGCTGTTAATTTAGTTGTAATATTAAATATCATATTTTTGTTATACATTTAAGTAGTTCCAAAGTTCTATGTGCCCACAAAAGTATTTACTTAAACATTATTTTATTGTTTCTGTGGTAGATAGTAGAAGGAGGTCGAATTCATCAAAACAGTAGCTTCCCCAGTTACTGTAGTTTATTAAAAAAAGAAATAGATTTATTTTGAAAGTCAGAAGTTTTTCATAAAACCTCGTAAAGTTAACGTAGGAGAGCCATGCTTTGGCATATCGGGCCGACTTGATCAGAGGGATACCACGGCACCTTACAGAAGACCGGTGTTGAGCAGTTCTTTTCGTTGCTTTCCACCGAGTGAGTGAGGTTACTGGTACTAAAACCCCACCACCATGCTAGCAAATAGACAACATTATATAGATGTGAGAGCGAACCATCTAAGGTTTACCAGTCTGTTCCCTATTCCATTTCTGTCTCGCTGCTACCTACTTTCTACGTAGAAATTGACAGACAGACTAAAATAATTTTATTTCAGCACACTGACAAGTGTGATCCTGTAGGTCTGCAGCAGTATTCCAGGGTTGACAAAGGATTCCAGAGCCAGTTAAACCAAAAGCTACAACTTTTCTGTACGCGCTCAAGTCCTTATTTATACCGCTATATAGACATGGAAATTATTGCTACTACTAAATCATAATCATATGGCGAGGTGATTGAAGATAAATGCCATCAAAATTCTCTTTATCAACGATTAATCTTTGTATTTGTCTGGCAGTAACGTAATATAGTAATAAGACGCAGTGGTTTTGTAAATTACTCAGAGCTGTGATTATATTATTTATAAATCATACGATTTATCACAGGTAATTGTGATTTTATTCTATATATATTTGTATACTTTATTGAAAGCGAAATACTGCCTAACCGCGACAGTGGACTTTCACGACAGACGCCGACAAGGATTGAACACTGAATCGATCGAATTCTCATGACCCGAGCGCTGGCCTGTGAAGGCTCGACTCGCAGTCGATCGCTACGGCGTTATGATAGCCTGGTACTGCGGAGGTTTATTAATCAACAACCTTTGCCCTCTGACATGGACAGGGTAATTATTTCATTGTTTGAATTAATACACCTGTTTTATTTACTGTAGTATTACTTAACTGTAATAACTTAAACCAGGCATTTTTTATTGTTTTTGTGTCGCTCGGACTGTAAGTTATGTACTACAAGACTAGAATGCCTAATTCACCGGGGCTCGATGTTTGCTGCTAAGGAATTATTCTCCGCGGAAGAGATTGCGCGATAGAGGATCAGTATACTATGTAACTCGTTTTATTTTTTTATTTCCTTCTAGTGGAAGTTACCGGAGCCCCTTCTTTCTAATTGTGGAGGGGAGGGGACAAGGCGGAAGGTACTCAAAAGGGCCGCATTTGGGACTTTGTTGCAGGTGTCTATGGGTAGTAGTCAGCTGGAGCGAATGTTCGATTGCTCCTAAAAGAAAAAAAAAATACCTACCAAACCTACCTACCTACTACCAAAGTTCGTCTGGTATAACTAGTAAGCGCCAGTAAGTATAAATTACTACATTCTGCACAACATTACCGTTGTATATCTGCAGTAAGTATTAGACAAACGCCTCGGCAGCAACTGTGTAATTACTACGAACACTTACGTTCTAATAACTCTGAAAGAATGCTTACTGTTATCTAAGAAACCGGCTAATCGAACCGCTATGTAAGTTACTTGTATGTGCAACATGTATACCTACCAGCAAAACCTTGGAGACCTTGTCCTGCCTGAACGTGGTATCTTAACCAATATCGACAATACAACAATATAATTAGCTAAAATTTAAAAAAGTTTTAGGTTACTTTAATTTTAAATTACATTACATGATTTCTAAAACTCAATTGACTGGAACACACAAATAAAATTTTGATCAAACCAATACAGAGAGAATTCAGTGCCAATACACATATACAGAAAATATAATTTTAATGATAATATGTACCTACGTATGTGTATCAGTGCAAAGATAAATAAAATCGTCCGAGACCACCCACGATTACAGATTAGCATTCATTACTAGGATAAAATAAACGCATGGAGATGCGTGTTTTTAGTTGAAAGATAAGCTTCGCAGATCTGCGTATTGTACTATTGCAGCTTTCGCTTGATAATATTTTCTTTACTCGTTAGATTATAATAGTTACCATAAATACATTTTTACGGTCTAAATAAGGTAATTGATTAAATATGCTGACTGTTATCAAGCCAAAGGTCGTGGGTTCGATTCCCACCCAGGACAAATAATTGTGTGAAGAGCATGATCATTTGTTCTGTCTGGGTGTAATTTATCTATAATATCTATAAATTTAAAATATGTAAGTATGTTTATGAGCAGTCTGGCTTAGCATAGTACAGGCTCTGCCTATTTTGGGATCAGACTGCTCTGTGAGATGTATCAGGTATTATTATATGAATGAGGAGAATTATATTTCAAGTTCATATGCAGCAAAGCGACATACATTTTACATACAAAA